GAAGAAAAAACTGGAGTGATTCATGTGTTATGTGCTCGTGTTTTAAGTACCGTATTCCATGTAGCTGTCACTGGTGGGGAAGCCAGGTGAGGCGGGGAGGTGTTGCTCAAAGCAGAGCAGGTCATGTGGTTGGTCTCCATCTGCATCCATCATCTCTTCTGAAGATAAGACCAGACAAACTACATGAGATCAAAGTGTAGGAAGTACACCTGAATACTTCTACAGGGTTACATTTGTTGTTTTGCAGCAGTTTAAAATACGTTCAGTTATTCTGATATGGGTCATTCTGCATAGTGGGTATTTTTACTTTTAGTCCTTGAAGTATATTTTGATGCTAATACTTTTGGTCTTTCACTGAAGTAAAATTTTGAATGCAGCAATTTTACTTGCAACTGAGTATTTCTACACTGTGGTTTACTTGATTTGAGAACTTTGCCCACCACTGTTAGTAAAGCACCTTTCTAAAACTGAGTGCAAATCAAATATAAGACTGTGTTTTCTTTATCTATTCCCAAGCTGTTATTAGTCTGTTCTTTTTATTATTGATATATTAATACTATCGTTATTAGATCATCATCTATTATTAGTTTCGAGTCCTAATGTCATAAGTCATAATGCGCTTTTCACCAAACAATACCGGGTTGATTCATGAAATAAAGGGAAATTAATTGATATCTAGCACACTTTTTAAAAAACAGTAACAAAAAAATAGTAATCTTTGGGTTTGGGGGAAAGTATCAAGTAATTTCAAGTCAAAAGGCTCAAGTCCAAGTGAAGTCAAGCCGCAAGTCTATTCTGATTTTGTCAAGTCTAGTCTTAAGTCATTCAGGATATTTCAGCCTGGGCTTGGCAACAACACATTTTAATGGAGTGCCTGTGTCACAAACAGGAGGTGCACATGGAGTTTTAAGAAGGCAGATGATGTCCGGGCAGGAAGGGACTAACAATGGAAGCTGTAAAGTAGTGTTTTAATATATATATAATTAAAAATCTAGCCTCGTACAAGAGATGAAAAGTCTGAATATCTCAGCTTTTGCTGCTTTGAATCTGACCATTCTTTGTCAGCTGTCTCTTGTGAGTCCCTCCACAAATACTCAATCACTGGAAGAGTTTTGTGTCGGTAATTACACAAGTTAACTCTACAGTCCGCTGCTCTGTGATTACCTGTGTGCTCACCCTGAGGCTCAGAATACCGCACGCTCTGATGTTTGGGGTCGTTGGACAGCACAGCTGGGGTCACCACCTCCCAAACCATTATGTCCACAGGCACTGAAACATGCAGACGGCGAACATCTGTTTATTCTACAGCCAACAAGTCTCACTTTATTAGCATGGTAGTTTTTTCTAGAAGTTGTCAAATGAAAGGTTATAGGACATATGTTGCTGGTAGAAAATATAATATCAATCTTTAAGTATCAGCATTACATACCAGAATCCCCCCACCCGCCACAGACACACACAGACACAGTAACCCAATCCTACACTGAGCTGTAATGTATATGCTATAAATGGTCGGGGTGACATAAGGAGACCCAGGGTGACGTAGGGTAATGCCTGGGCTGGTTATCTAATAATACACCTATGTTTAGATACATTCTCAAAGCTCCAGGACATTTACCAGCTCACTATAATGAACATAACTGTATTTAATATGTTTAAATATTGCGTTTCAAACATGTAAACATGATAAGAGTGTTTAATCTCATCTATTTCACAATGTTCTCGTCATGTGACTCCCTCTTGTTTATAAACTTTGAGATCCTGCACGCATGCGCATAGAGAGCCCATTCATTCAATACACAGAAGGGCAGCGATAATACATTTGCACTAAACAGTTAATAAACAGTAACAAGCACGACGTTAAGCACCCAGACTAAACTAACTATTGTGATATTATCGACTGCTATTAAGTGCTGCTGGTGTCAACGCTTTTAAACGTCGGAAAACTTCAAACGAAGCAGCGTTATTTGTTGTCACGTAACAAAAGTACCGTTGAAATGCTGAAGTTACGTCGACGAAAACGACAAAAAGCTTAAGCGTCTGTATTTTAACGGACATTTTCACGGCATCAACACGATTCGGGGTGTGAAAATATGCCTAAACACAAAATATAGACGAGCCATTTTATTGCGCAAAGGCAGTTACAACAAAACAAGTAACGTCAACAATGAAGCTTTACGGAGAGAGCAGCGAAACTGCATTTACGGCGACAAATAAACGTTGTCAGCTTCACGTTATTACTCGTCTGCCAAGATAAGACAAGAATCATTAAACTGGTGTGATTACTTCTCAAATTCAACGCTTTAAAACCCTTAAATGATTTCAATGAACTTTCCTCAACTCACCAAAACAGTCGCCTTGTACGGGAAAGGGGGCTGGTATAAACACCTTTCCTCCAGCGATGCTATTGGCCAGAGCTGCTGTCAATCTACAGCTCCTCTCATTCTGATTGGTCAGCTGCGTGCAGCTTGTTCTCTTCATTATTATGGCCACAACAATAAAACACTGGGTGGGTTATGAAGATGAAAGATGGCTGAGACAAAAGTAGCCCACCACAAGTGGCAATTAAAAACATTTGAGCTCCTGTATAATGGGCATAGCTTAATTTAGCACAATGTCAGTATTGTTAACACATGAATTAGACTGTGACACAAGACAGTCATTTCGTAATTCTCACAAGGTGCCAAGATTATCTAATAGCAATATAAAGACCTGAAATGTTTAGCCTAGAAGCATGCAATCTCTGATGTGTGATAATAAAACAGACAGTGACACAATAAAAACAAGGTTGGAAAACATGGAATGGTTTAAGACAAATAGCCTTCAGCACAATTACAATACTTCCAGTGCAACAAGTACAACAGGTAGTTTCATGAAGTAACCCGGTCAAAGACTTGGTCCTGTGTTTCAGACATATGTTTGTAACCCAATATGAAACCCTTAATATCCCTAAGTACACTCTTTAGTATAATTATAGATGCTTCACTACTGTTAGCAGGAGAGGGTGAAGCCATAATCAGAGTCATCTTCTCATTAAGTCAGATGTGAAGAGGCTAAAAATTGTACGCAGGTAAAAAGTACTGTTACTTTACAATAACGAGTACTCAAGCGATACATGTATAAGTAACAGTTAAACTACAAATAAAAGGGTACTGAATATTTCTGGATGGAATAGAGATGGTCCAAAGACACCCTTGGTTTATGTGTGAATGCACCATATCCAGGTCTCATCAGTCAGTTGAAGACAGTAGCCTAGTTAAAGTCAAAAGGAAAAAAAAAGACATCAAAAGTAGCCAAATCATGACAAAAAATTCATGGCAAACACACAACAAAAATGTTATTTCAATATCTCTAAGTTATTATTAAGTTGATTATTACATACATCAATGTTTACATCAGTATTGGTTTGACTTTTATTTTATTTCATTGCACCGTAGAGTTGGTTCAACAGTTTCCTGGTTTGCAGATCATTCTGTCACGTCTGTCATGATGGAGCTGACCCCTGACATATGGAGAATTGTGAGTGTTTACTGCCCCCTCGTGGTCGATGCGAGGAACTACGTGCACACGTCAAGTTAGACACGATTACTTCGCAACACTGTTGTCAATCCTTTGGAAATAAATTAATGAGAAATGTTAGAAAAGAGTCTAATAAATAAACCTTTAACTAAGCAATCTGAAATAAAGCCAGAGACTACAATTACATATTTAAATGGGCATATTTACTAGTTAATTATTATTATGTATCAAAGGAATTTTTAGTCTCAGTTATGTTTTCTGTTCAAGTTTTTATTCTATTTTATTTGTGTAGGTCCACACTATGTGAACACACAAGTCATCATGTCAATTGCCAGTTTCATCATCATCAAGCCATGATAACATGATCCTTCAACCTCAAGAAAAATCTTGAGTGTTATAGTATATTTTTTTTGTTTGTTTGTTTTTGTTTTTATCAGTACTAATTCTTAATATTTTCACTTATAAACTTAACACTACAAAAGACACTAAAATACTTTTCATTGTGTTATTTATGAGGGGGGAGGTGGTGGTGCAAAAAGGGGAAGGCATGTCAAAAATTTTTTTTAAGCTCTGAGTAGGAACTTGTGGTTTTTTATTTTGGCTCATGAGGGGCATACAAATTTGAATGATAGTATTTTGTATTCATTTTGCCACCATATTTGAAAGAAAACTAGGCTTCCAAACTACATGTTTTCTTTAAAAAATCTGCAAAATTGCATCGTTTGTCACAAAACAGAAATTGTCCTTTGACACATGATGTGCGACGAACTCTTCCATCAGAAAAATAAATAAATAAATAAATAACGAAATATGAGCTTAAAATAGTGACATTTCACCAAAATCACTTTACTCTGTGTCTCTTTTAAAATTTGGCAAAAAATAAAAAATAAACTATTTGCCCAAACTACCCAGCATGCAAGACAAGAGTGAAAAAAACAAGCCTGTTTTCAAATCCAGGATTTTGTCTTCAACTTTTTCCTTTTAATTATCAAAATAACTTATTTATGGTGGAGGGAGGGTCATGCATTTTCCGCCAGTCACTCAGGGAGGAAAAATGTTTATAGCTTTGGGGAAAGTCAAAATTTAAAAAATGAATGAATGAATAAAAAACAAATAAAAAAGGAAGTCACACCTCAGCCACTCTCCTCGCCTGTTAACTAAAGAACAGTCATTGCCATGATATCATGACTGTGATACCCTCGAATATCTGCCGTGTTGCAGTTCCTGACTGTGACCACTGGAGGGCAGTGAACACTCATATTTAAATGGTACAAAGGTGCTATTTGTTTGAAATCAGATAATCTTCTTCCATATATTTTTAATTCTTTCTTTTACATAATTTCTGAAGATCAAGTCACAACCACAACATTAAAATATGGCTGTATGTATGTCTGCCTACGTCCTATAAGACTGTTTGTAGCGGTTTATTTTGAAAGGAAAAACCGGAAGTGTTGTTCTCGTTACCCGGCAGACTTGACAACCTCCCTGAGAGGCGCAGCGTTTCCTTCATCCAGAGTTTGCCGACAAACTTAAAACCATTTTTCGCTCTGGTCTGAGGTCTCTTTATGTAGCATAAATGCCGAAACTTCCGCCCAAAGCTCCGGGTTTCGTCGCCGTCTTCGTCTACGTTCATTGGTGAGTCATGAAAACAACTTTAAAGTTTTTTTGCATTACAAATGTGTCGCGTCTCCTTCCGATTATTACGGCAGCTGCACCGTTACATTCACCGCACACTAACCCAGTTCCGCTATGGTCACGTTTAACATTTATATACACTCCTCAGAGTTGATACATCCATTATTAATAACTGATACAGACCTAATATTGATTAAGACACAGTTGTCACCACAGCAGCCTGTGTGACTGTGTGTAGTTATAGTAACATCCATGCTGTGTCGAGTTTTGCTTCCTGCTTTTCAAAACTTCCTCTGCTGGTGTAAAAGAAGCAGAAGGGAAACTCCGTTTGGTCCTGTGACTGAGGATATTTCAGTCAGCTGTTAGATCATCACTTTGTTTTTGAAAAATACATGAATAAAGCTGTCATCACGGCACACTGCTTTTAGTAGTATTCCTAAATTGTGTAATGCAAATGGTATGTTTTCTCATGCTTTATTCGTTTAACATTAGCTTTGTTGGATTGTCATGGTTGTTTTAGACCATAAACAAAGGTCCACAACAACTTTACATATGTGACAGTGCACAAAACAAATCACATATAACACTAAACAAAATTACAGGACTTGACTAAAACATTGACACAGACAAACAAGCAAGCTCCTGGTAGTGCAATAATTAAGATGTATACTATTTCATGATTTAATATGGTATGTATCACCAGTTTGGGGCTGAATTTTGCTCCAATTACCTGATGATTAGACTAAGTATTTACACAATACTATACACTAACATTTGTAAGTTTCCATACACACATTATATGAGCATTAAAAGGAATAGATCCCAGGAAGAACAATATTCTTACCATGCATGAAGTTCATTACAGTGTATGAATCATATTGTATAGGTCAACTTTTCTTGTAGTCTTACTTTGAAAACATGAAAATATAATTAGCGTACTGACAATTAGTAAATGCAGATGGAGTAGAAACAATTAGTCGTTTTTTCAACTAGGACACAAAATGGGCAAGTATTTTTTAAGTGATTTATTATGTAAGATGTTCAAGCAAAAATGTCAATCACTTTCTGGTTGTAGCGTCTTGCAGTGTGAAGAGTGGCTGTTTTTTTTTTTTATTATATCGAACTGAATATGTTCGGATTTTGGACTGTTGATTGGACTGGGAAACTGACATTTTTTTTATTGATTTCAGGAATTTCATAAACAAAACGATTGAAAGATTGATAGAAAAAATAATTTGTTGATTAATCGCGAAAGAAATTAGTCCTGACTTGGGGCCTCTCTGCATTTCTTCTGGTTGTTCATTTTTAACAGTCACTGCCTTTATATCCGGTTACAGGAGCAAGACTTTCAAAAAGCAGTTGGAATGAATAGAGTTCATTGATGATAGCCCAGGGGTCAGAGGTCATAGATCAGTGTTTCCTGATAGATAAGTGTGCTGGAGCCTATCCCAGCTGACATGGTTGAGAGTCAGGGTACTCCCTGGACAGGTCACCAGACTATCACAGGGCTGACACATAGAGACAGACAACCATTCACACTCACATTCACACCTATGGACAATTTAGAGTCACCAATTAACCTGCATGTCTTTGGACTGTGGGAGGAAGCCAGAGTACCCAGAGAAAACCCATGCTGACACCTGGAGAAAAATGCAAACTCCTCATATATCATTATATCTTAATGTACTTGTCGGTGAATTATTTTAATTATAGGCACTCGAAGATGAGATGTGTACATGATCACAGCGGAGTATTCTATCTGTCCCCCTCCAGCTAGGCGATGGACGGGCAGCAGATCCAGGTGAGCGACGAAGAGCCCAAAGTCCTGCGAGAAGAGACCCGGAGAAGGAGAAGAAAGAAAGCCATCACCTCGTCCTCCTGCACCTCCATGGATCAGATCACTGTTGAGTTCGTCCTGCCCACTGCGACGCGTGGTGGGAACAGCCCCGACACTCTGCTGCTGGAGGTCGCTGGAAACTGGACGGTGGAACAGGTAATGTACTGATGATTCATTATGGATGTTAAAATATTGCTTATAGTGTCTTTACGCAAACATTATATTCTGTTGTCTTGCAGGTGAAAGCTCAGGTGTGGCTAAAGGCGGTGACTCTGAACCTCTGTCCTGACTTCTACCAGCGGTATTCTCCTGATCACTGCATCCTGCTCTATCAGAAGAAAGGCAACATATGCGAGATCTACGACAAGCACCAAGTCTTCCAGACGCTGGACTGCATCCGTTACTGGAGAGGTACACCAACCAGTGACAGAACATGTAGTCAAAAGAGTTATTCTGTTGTGATGATGTCAAACACAACTGTTGTGTTTTTAAAAAAGCCCTGAAGAAAGACGTGGGGCGGATCCAGTTGGCTCCCCGTCCGCAGCCCTCAGATGAGTCCCTGCAGTACCAGCGCTACTTAAACTACCTGATCGGCTACGACGTGACAGATGTCAGCAATGTGCACGACGACGAGCTGGAGTTTACCCGCAGGAAGCTGCTGACACCAAGACGCATCGAGCTGTCTGACCGCGATGCAAAACTCTACTCCATGGACCCCTGGGTGACCCGCAAGCCGCTGCCTGACCATCTCCTCAGCAAGGTGTGTGTTGAGCTCACCAATAAACAGTTTGTTTAGTGTTTTGAGTTGCACTCTTTTTACATTTTCTGGTTCATTTGTACCTCCTGCAGGTCAGTAACGGTCACATCCTGGTGGTGATCCACATCAGCACAGCCAGCCAGACCATCAAGGTCTCCATCGATGACACGCCAGCACAGGTAGACAAATGTAGCGACGACCGCCATTCATGTTTACATCTGTTACTGTAACACTCCCTGACAGTTTTCCATCTTGTTTAGGTGTTGGTGAGCTTTTTTGCCAAGACGGCAAACAAGAGAGTTTTGCTGGGGATTCCTGACAACATGTGTGAGGCAGACTTTGTGCTACGTGTGTGTGGGAGGTATGTCAGAGGCTAAAACACACGATAACCACTCGTGCATGGAGCCAGTGTAATTCATTTCATGTTTTACAATGTACTGTCTGTTCACACAGGGAGGAGTACCTGTACGGAGATAAACCGCTGCAGAACTTCAACTGGATCCGTCAGTGTCTGAAGAACGGGGAGGAAATCCACCTGGTTCTGGAGAGGCCACCTGATACAGAGCTGGATCTGGTTCAGAAGGAGGACTGGGCACAAGTGGATGACTGCACTGGAGTCGCAGGTAACCAGTTGAATTAAGTGTCCAGTCCACATCTGGCACACCCCAAGAGCTTCTTTAAGAGGTAATAATTATCCTCTCAACTTCTCTTTCTCAGGTACCCATGAGCAGCTGACCATCGATGAGAAGGACCACGAGCGAGTGTTCACCATCTCTATGTGGGACTGTAACAGGAAGTTCAGAGTGAAGGTGCTGGGTATTGACATCCCATCCCTCCCCAAAATCCCGGAGTTTATTGTCTTCATTGAAGCCAGCATTTTCCATGGCCAGCAGCTTTTAGCCCAGGTAATCCAAAGCACACAGAAGGAAAACATCTGATGATGGTGGCTGTGATCTACTTTGATTTTAGGGCAGCTGAAGTCATCTCTGCTCCTTCTTGGGTCATTACTCCTGGCAACATTTAAAACTGATTGTTGTCAAAACAATGCTGAAGATGACCATTTTTTATATTATAGGCACATTATTGATAAATGATTATAGTCAGTGATCTTGACTTTCCTTTGATGCGTCACAATAAAGGCTTTTTTATGCTTTTAATGTGAAGTAGCAACAGTTTGAGATGTTTGGTTTGCATGTAGCTATTAATTAACACAGCTTTAATGTGGGTGTAGGAGAGTGAACAGAGAAGCTGATGTTAATGAGATAACATAAAACAGTAATGTTATATTACATGTTACTGTGTAAATCCATTGAAGGGATTTTGCTGCAGAAGTGGCAACACTAACTTGGTTTCTTTTTATGAAAGGCTTAAGGATTATAACTTTAACCTAGATTGAGCAAATCAGAACTGAGAGCCACAACAGTGAAATGTTGCTTTCATAAGCAACAATTTCAGGAAGCACTTTTGGCACAGTAGGTTTAGGACAGCAGTGACGGCAGAGTTAAACCCAAGTGGCATCATCCAAGGCAAAAAAAAATGAAGCCAACGCAGAAGTGCAAAAACCTTCTGGAGAAGTGCTCCGGAGTGAGTCAGTCCTCATAGACTCCCATGTTAAAATACTCAGTTTTACAGCAGAAATAAACATGTTTAAAGGCTGCTACAAAAAGCACTTTTGGTCTCTGTAGCTAATTTACCCCTTCATGAAACTGTACAGGGGTGACTGGTTGTATAACTCACCTGTTTAAATGTTATTAAGGCGTGAATTTATGCATAATTAAGCTTTGAGTGACAGCTTGGTGCTGTCCATTGGCAAGCTCCTGCCACGACAACAACGTTGATCAGGTATCGTAACAATTGTGTAACCCCAGACTCACAGAGTATAGGTGTAGCTGTAGCAGTCCCTTTTATCAGTGTGTTTTCAGGTCATGAAGGCAAATTGTAACATTTTGGTTGCCCGAAAAAAGTCTTGTTCAGTGTTTGGTTGTACTGTAAGACCTTTCAAGAAGTCGAACATTCAGCTTTTCCGTGAAGTACATTTTGTTTTGATAGTTTAAGTTTGTTTTTTGCTAGCAAAAATTAGCACTAGAATTAGCATTATCACAGCTTACCATAGATTGTAATGCACCATGCTAACCAAGCTAGCAGCTAACATTTGGAGTATCTCCACCCTCTCGTCCAAAAATGGTCACTTCTGGCTCCAGAAATTCTAGATGGCGACATAGTGAACTCAAGGTCCAAAAACCAGTGGGTGCCATCACGGTGGCTATGTCCATTGTTATGTACTGTACAGTCTATGGTTTAACCCTGCCTTTACTCTCTCAGGAGAGGACGTCCTCTAAAACCTTCAATGAAGAAGTGCTGTGGAACTGCTGGTTGGAGTTTAACATTAAGATCAAGGATCTGCCTAAAGGAGCACGACTCAACCTCCAGGTGAACATTTAATTCAAAGGACAGGTGTAGTAGAGAAGAATTAAAGAACTCTGAATTCTTGGTCTTTGTACTCTGTAACTAGCTGTTATTGCTCTGCCCATTTAACCTCTCAGGTGAGCTGCGGGAAGCAGCCCTTGACACCAAACTCCAAGGGAGCCTCAGCCTACCAGGATAGTACAGCAGGGACAGGCAGCCATGATGGTGAGGTCTACTAACATTTAAGTGCCAACTGTATCTTGCTGACAATGGTTAGAGCAAGCCTGTATCCATTCGTCTGTCCATCTTTCAGGTAAAACCAAGAGCCGACTTCTGTACTACGTCAACTTGCTGCTGATCGACCACCGCTCTCTGCTGCGCCAGGGTGAGTTCATCCTCCACATGTGGAAAATGCCAGAGAAGAGCGAAGAGAGCAGCAGCAGCATAAACGCAGACAAGCTCACCTCAGCCACCAACCCAGACAAGGCCTCTGCCATGGCCATCGCCATCCTACTAGACAAGTACTGCTACCCTGTGGTGCTGCCCAAGAGTCGAGATGTGGGCCGGGACGTCGGGGCCGGAAGTGAGGAGGCAGAGGGAGGAGAAAGAGGTCAGAGAGAGATGCCGAATCACCTGAAGAAACAGTTTGAAGCTATCGTGGCCACCGACCCCCTGCATCCTCTCAGTCCTGAGGACAAAGAGCTGCTGTGGCACTTCAGACATGAGTGTATGCGTGACCCCAGGTACTTATTTTATTCTAAAGAAAATGGACTACAAAGTGTTGTATCATCACTGCTTTTGCTGTTCCTGGATATTCACTTTAGCCTCTTCCTATACTCAGGGCTTACCCAAAGCTTCTGGGTTCAGTCAGGTGGGGGAAACAGGAAGATGTTTTGGCAATACACCGTCTACTGGAGCGCAGCAGCGCGTGGGACAGCAGGTAAGAGCGCCTTCACACTGCAGCTATACGTCTTGAGGAGGTTCAGCGTCCCTTCACCTGTCGACATGTTGTTCCCGTTCAGTGGTCTGGATGTTGGTCTGGCCATGCAGCTGCTCGACTGTCACTACTCAGACGCTCAGGTTCGCTCTATGGCTGTCAGGAAGCTGGAGACTTTGGGAGATGATGATGTGCTCAGATACCTTCTGCAGCTCGTACAAGTGAGTATGTTCTATTCTTTCTTTTTAAGGCTGATGAGGCACCTCTTCCAGTAACTCTGCTGTTCCACCTGATTCACAGTTACACTATTTCACAAGCTCGCGGGGAGAGGCAGCTCAGCAGATACATGCTGCGTGTTTGTCTTCTGATGTGTTTCCATAGTTGACTCTGTGGTTAACTTTGCATGAGCAGTATGAATTTTGAGCAGAGGCCAACAAAGGGCCGTTTGGTCTGATAGGAAAATGACTCCTACCTTCACAGTATACTGTTGTCTCTGTGTCCTTTGAGCTTTAGTTATATGTGGAGGGTGTCCTTCTAAAATATATTCCAAGCTATACATGTAGAGAAATACTACTGCCTAATATTCAGGGTATTATAGATTGTTCCTGAAAGAGTGACAACTTGCTCTGCAAAGGAGTTACACTGTCATTTAAATATGTCTCCGGGAGGCATTCTGTTTTCGTGTTGTCTGTTACTCAAGAACGCCCTGAGGGAATTTCTTCAACAAACGTTAAACTGATTAGATTTTGGTGATCAAAGGTCACTGTGACCTTGCATCTGTCTCATTCTCATAAATGCAATATCTCAACAACACCTTGAGGAAATTTCCTGAAATTTGGCACAAAAATCCACTTGGACTCACGCTCCTTTGCCCAAACCTGTATTTTTTTTTTTTTTTTTGGCAAGCTTACCCAAACACACATATTGAAGCAGGCAAGACTAGCCTTCAGTGGATGCACCCCAAACATTTCAGAGCAGAATATACTGCTTATTTTTCAAAATTTTGAAACCTGATTTTATTTGTTGGAGGTTTTTCAAGCATTAACATTTGGCTGGATTGTTAATAACACATATTTCCATTGTATGACAGAACATATTTAACATTTAACATATATATTCTTTAAGTCTGGGTAAAATCAGATATTATTTTAAGATAATATTGTAGTCATTTTATTCAAAAAGCACAGAGCCCTGTAGGTGATATTTTTTGTTTTGGCTGCACAAGTTAATCATCCTTTGGGAACAAGTTGATTATCTTGTATGCACAAGTTAGCCTATTATCTGGTTGGCACAACAAAAAATCACCTTTCAGCACTTTGGGGGCTCTGTAGTACAATAAGTAATGGATTAATCAGTGATAAAAAAAAATAGTAGTTGCTTCCCTTGTCCTCGATATAGAAACACTTCATTCAAGACATTGTTCTACTGCAGAAGCCTGAATTGCAGTAAAATGTTTGCAATTCTCAGGTCACGTGATCATACCATTAAATATAGTTTACAGTTTATCTGCACTGCTGCTCGTCTTCATCACTCCTTTTTCTGCCGTCTGTCTGGCTGGCTACACCTCTGACCCGTTGAACCGCTTTCTGCTTCCTTCACTTAACATTTGAATTGCAGTCCTGTGTGAGCACAATGAGCTCTTTATTTTCCCTGCACTTCCTGCACCACTGTTTGCCTCATCACTCTGTAACCTCTGAACTCAGTCTGTTAAAGATACCCTGTGAACATTTTTTTGTTTGTTTTGTAAATTTTGTGTGTCCCTGTTCTCTTGAAACATTTCTATGCACTTCCTACCTCACCCACATTTTTAAAAAATTGTTCCACAACATATTGTATGTGGCTTTGTTTACATCAGCTTCATCTCCTTGTTGTCTGTTCTGTTGGCAAACACATTGTCAGTTAAATCACAATTTACAAAATAACTTAATCTCCAGTAAGTCCAGTTTATTTACATATTTCCACTATAAAGCAAGGAGTGTATTCCGGGGGGTTGAATGGGTTTCATGTGACAGCATTTTTGTGTGTGTGTGTCCTGCAGGCAGTCAAGTTTGAGCCCTACCATGACAGTGCCCTGGTCAGGTTCCTGTTGAAGAGAGCACTGAGGGTAATCAGGACTAACAACTGTATCTGTTTCTTACACTGTCTTACAGTGTTGCCATTCCACCTGATGCTAGCTGCAGAAAGTCATTATGATTGACATTTACAGTTAAGTTTTTCTCCTTTTTTTTCTTTTCTCTCCACAGAGTAAGCGCATCGGCCATTTTCTCTTCTGGTTCCTACGGAGTGAGATCGCCCAGTCAATGCATTACCAGCAGAGATATGCTGTCCTGCTGGAGGCCTACCTCAGAGGCTGTGGTGAAGACATGCTGCAGGACTTTAGGAAACAGGTGAGACAAGTCATGTCTTGTACACGACTCCTTGAACAAAATGGTGTGTGTAGTTTCGGCTTGGATGATATCAAGGTACTACAATATACTGAGGTGTTTAGAAATCCCAAAGGTATGATTTTCAGAACTGTCAAGAGTACACATGCTACTCTTTTTATTAAACTGATACGGAGATGCTGTGTTAAGGTGATGTATTGCAGTGCACAGCACACGCCACCAGAGGTCAGTCTCTACTGGTGGAACAGGCAGCTGAGCTGAGAAAGATGGCAGAGAGTGGCAGGGATAACGTTCAGGGAGCTGTAAAAAAAAAATTAAACCCAGCAAGACTTGTCTATGTAGGCTAATTGCATTTTGGAAACACAGCACTGTAAACAATGACATACAAGCTACAGTGATTTCTATTACTAGTAGCTCAGCCTTTATGTTTTTTTTTCTTACATAAGTGACATCATATACTGTATACCCCTGAAAAAACAGATGCCGCCCAAGCCTAATGTAGATTTGAACTAAAACACAGTTCAGATTTACAGTCTGTCAGCTCTGTCAGTAACTGACATGATGAACTGATGCTCTCCAGGTGGAGATGACGGAGGCTCTGCAGAAAGTGACCCGTGAGATGAAGGCCATGTCCGCCGAGAAGTACGATATTACTGCACAAGGTGAGGAGGAGAAGTGAAACTTTGAAGCCATCCTGCTGCTCTGTAGCAAACCACTGATACTAACCTGCTATATTCAGTTCCCGTAGCTTATCTGTGAGTTTTGAAATTAAGACAAAAATTATTTTCTAATAAGCACAATATCTACATTCTATGGAGCAATTTCCTCTCCATACTGCACGAGTTCCTGCCTTAAATGTAGGTGTTAAGGACTAGAGGATTCAAATAAAACATATCTCCGTGTACTGAAGCTAAGCTGCATGTGTATGTGTGTTTTGTGCACTTGACAGTGGTGTTTCAGTTGCGTCAGAAGCTGGAGGCACTGCAGTCATCTGGTCTGCCGGAGAGTTTCAGAGTCCCTTACGATCCTGGACTAAGAGCTGGAGCCCTGATGGTGAGGGAACACAAACACACACACACACACACACTGGCAGTTAATCTGCCTTCACATGGAATCAAGCAAACATCAAAGCAGGTACCATTTTAGTTGACGATAGCAGGACAGTTAAATTAGGTGAGGCCAGCACACAAGAAGAAAATGTAGGTGATCTGGTCAGTTATTGGACATTACTGGAATAATCACATGAAATTAGGAACATGAAATAATTTCATTAAATGTATTTTATTCCTTTCTTTGTAAACAGTGCAGTTTCACCATTGCAACATATCGTCATGCATGTTTCATTTTAACATCTTGCCGTTCCGAGTGTTAGTCTTTCGTGTGCCATCTGGAAATTATTGTCTATCGTCTGTCTGCTGTTGCCTGATTCTATGTGAATGCGGCATTAGGGCTGCAGGATATGAGTAAAATACGCAATAACATGTACTCAGTTCTGCCTTTCTGCTGCTTTCAGTTTCCGGCTGCTAAGATACAACAAATTGCCTGTTGAATTACTAATGATTGTTACATTTTAAAGTGTAGTTTTCTAATGATACTCTCTTTCACCTAACTCAAAAAATCCCTGAGTGCAGTATCACAGTCTTGCATGATGTGTTTCCCTAGCAAGTTGACATTGCAATGACAGTAAAAACTATATATTGTGCAGCCCTATAGCAGTGGAGAAAACTATACACACTCATACCCAGGTGTCTGCAAGTAGAAAGCCAATAATAAGTTAAACGTGAAACCAGTTTCACGAGTGAAATAAACAATAATTGAAAGTGGACATATGAATAACTATATCACAGAATTTCAAGACAAATACTGTTCATGCACGTTCAGATCGAGCAGTGTAAAGTGATGGCATCTAAGAAGAAGCCCCTGTGGCTGCAGTTTAAAAGGGCCGACCCCAGCACTCTCTCCAAAGACCCCATCGGCATCATCTTCAAAGACGGCGATGACCTCAGACAGGATATGCTCATCCTGCAGGTGAGCCGCAGCACAGTCTCTAACACAGAAGTTAGAAGATTATTGCAGACAGACTCTTGAAAAGACTCATTTACCTCTTGTGTTCAGATTCTGCTGATCATGGAGTCGATCTGGGAGACTGAATCACTGGATCTCTGTCTGTTACCGTACGGCTGCATCTCCACTGGAAACAGAATAGGTCAGTTATTCAACTGGACTGGAAACTGGATGGAAAACAAATATTACAGTCATTCTGTGAGATTTACCCTTCCTATGTCTTTATTGTTTTATCATTGTAGGTATGATAGAGATTGTGAAGGATGCCACCACCATAGCTAACATCCAGCAGAGTGTTGTGGGAAGCACTGGAGCTTTTAAAGATGAAATCCTTTATCAGTGGCTGCGGGACAAGTGTGTCAGTGAGGACAAGGTACACATCACGACCAGCTGTCATGAGATTCAGCACAACAGATAACATAAAAATAATCATTTGGTTAATTATATGGACTGTGGAACAGAAACATCCGTCCATCCTTTCATTCATCCATACATCCATCTACTCACAAAACATTCAGTCTCCAGCTGCACCAGCTTCTTTGTCAGATGTTAGAGGAAGTGGCAGTGCGACAGACAGGAAGGAAGCACCCCTCAGGGGTCTTCCTGTCATCACAGCATTCTACTTTTAGCTGTGACATCTGCACCACCAGTGTTGCTACAGGGGTGCAGACTTGTCACCTTTAAGTGAAAATTGTCGTTTTCACTCTGAAAGATGTCATCTGTGTGATTTGTTTAGATCTCACGAGTTTTTGAAATGTAGGGTTGGTGGGTTAGGATCTGGTGTTAGGGGTTTGAGTTGTTTTGATTATACAATTTGGATGTAAGGTCATTTCCCTGTAGACCTAATGCAAGCTAGCCTACTTGTTATTCTAATTCCCATTTCTATGTATATTGTTCCTGACATTAGCGCTCTGGGACTACTCATTTAACGTTAATAATGTTAGCATTTAGCGATTACAGCACAAGTTAAGCCAATCAGCCAAAGTGCCAACTAACTCAACGGTTAACATCAGCCCCGGATGGTTGAATTGAATTGAATTCAATTCAGTTTTATTTAGAAAGCCCAATATCACAAATCACAATTTGAAAAAAATGGTAGAAACCACAGGAATGCCTCCGTGCCAGCTATAGCTGTAGCCGTGGCCTAAAGAGGTACACATCTGCATTTCCTGGCTGCAAGGTCATTAATAAGGTCATTAAGCGGCAGTAGCTCAGTCCATAGGGACTTGGGTTGGGAACCAGAGGGTTGCCTGTTCAAGTCCCCGTACTGGACCAAATATGGAGCATGGACTGGTAGCTGGAGAGGTGCCATTCACCTCCTGGGCACTGCCGAGGTGCCCTTGAACAAGGCACCGAACCCCCCAACCAGTTGGGGCGCCTGACCAAGGCAGCCCCCTTACTCTGACATCTCTTCACTTTGTGCATGTGTGTGTATTTTGGACCTGTGTGTTAATGACAAAAGAGTGAAAAATTGCCCTCAAGGGGATTAATAAAGTATATAAAAATTTTTTAAAAAAAATAAAATATATATATATATAACAGCTGAACGAGTTCTGCATTGATGCTAAAGACAGCAAAACCACCAAGACGTTCCTGTTTGTTGTTTTGATGAGCTTAATTTTAGAAAACTCAGCAGGGGCAACTGACTGTATTAATAAATGAAGCTTTGTGTTAGCTCATGCAGGACAGGGAAGTCATACACCCCAGCTGTAATCAGCTGACAGCCAGCTGATTGGATCATTGTTTGCTATGAGTCACACACCTTTCACAGCCCATTTAAATATGGCTTCCTGTTCACTTATCACTGCTACACCCATGCTGCCACACACTGTTGCCGCTGCTGCTGGCAAAGCTTTACCTCCACCACCCCAGCCTCCACCTTTCTAATTCAGAGCCCTAACATCGCTCTAAGGTCAAAATGGTATTTAATGTCTTGCTTGGTCTCACTCTTCTGTACCCAGGGGGTTTTCTGCATTGCACTCCCTGTTTGGTCATAGCATGCCGCTTGGGAGCACCTCAAGAGAGGAGCCTGCAGCGCCAAGCACAACTGTATTTCCTTTTTGTTGCAATAAAAAGTTAAATCTATGACAAGAGTGTTCCAATCTGAACTGCAATAATAACCCTAAAACTGGGTGGACTGCTCTGTTCGGTGCCTCCTCCAGCCCTGGTGCCCTATGCACAAAGTGATGCATGTGCCCATAGCTGACAGCAGTAAATGATGGCATGGAAAATTAGCCAGAAAGGTGATTTATCATGTGACGAACAGTTTCTCTCGGTCTTTGTAGTTCCAGCAGGCTGTGGAGAGGTTCCTGTACTCCTGTGGTGGCTACTGTGTGGCTACCTACGTCCTGGGTATTGGGGATCGCCACAATGACAACATCATGATCACTGAATCTGGTAAGGACGTTTTTGGTCTGCACTTTCATCTCACTGTAGGACAAACGAATATATTTAAATATAATATATATAATATATATATATAATATTTTTAAGCAAGTTCTTATGAAAATATTGATAAGTCTCAATAAATGTTTTCATTTTGTTCATCCACATCTACAATTTAATGTTTTTTTGCCACCCTAAATAGCTATAAATAGACTGAACTAGACGATCTAAATTTCAATGTTGAACAAAATTCCTGTCCAGTAGGTTTCACTTGTAGTTTTGAAATCAAATACTTCAATTAAACTGCCACGTTCTGTTTTTTAGATTTATTTAGCAGTTATTGAAACACATCCCATGCGGCCTTCAGGAAATACTGAAAGCTCCTTTGTGTTCCTGCAGGGAATCTCTTCCACATCGACTTTGGTCACATCCTGGGGAATTACAAGAGTTTCATGGGAATCAGTAAGGAGTGGGTCCCCTTTGTGCTCACACCTGACTTCCTATACGTCATGGGAACATCAGGAAAGAAAAGTAGCCCCAACTTCCAGAAATTCCAGGTGCAGTAAATGGGATTTTTTTTTTTTTTTTGACGTAAATACACAAAATCCTCCACACTTCGGGGTGGAGCTCGGTTCATACACATGAACAGATCAGATGCATTGACAGATGCACAAATATCCATCAGCCATTCTTTAAACATTAAATAAGTCAGAAAGGTCAACCTATATGAGATTTATTTGCAGAAATCAGATAGTAACCAAGTTACGATAATCCCATAGCTAGAGTATAGCCACTGTTGGCGTGATGTCACCTCCAATGGGACAAATTGAATGTTAGATCTCCTGCATTCGTGTGTATGAACAATACAGTCTGTATGCATTACACATCTGTCATCTCCATCTCAGGACGTGTGTGTGAAGGCTTACCTCGCCCTTCGACACCACACCAACCTGCTCATCATCCTCTTTTCCATGATGCTGATGACCGGTAAGACTCCCTTCATTGTAAAACACAAAGCCTTTTGTGTTTTGTGCCCTTTTGCAGCAGCATTATTAAAATCATGTCCTTTTCCTCCTGTGTCACACTCACACAACACTGAGAGTTTTGGCTTGGTTTAAAATGTAATTTTAGTTTTTAGATTTACACTATTGTCATATCAAACTTGCTGACTAAGTCATTCAGTGCAACCTTTTTTATTTTTGTCTGTCAAAACAATAAATACTGATAGATGTTCACACATTCACACTTATTTTTCGGCTGTTAACAGGAATGCCCCAACTGACTAGTAAGGAGGATATTGAGTACATCCGCGAGGCGCTGACTGTCGGCCGCAGCGAGGACGAGGCGCAGCGTCACCTACTGGACCAGATAGAGATCTGCAGGGAAAAAGGCTGGATGGTTCAGATCAACTGGTTTGTTCATCTGGTGCTGGGGATCAAGCAGGGGGTGGAGAAACGGTCTACTTAAGACTCTGTATCACTGAGGAAAGATTAAGATTTGAGGGTTTTCCTCTTAGGATTTTTACTTAAGGCATTTCTGTTTTTTATTTGATGTAAATAAGAGTCTTAAAGGAAGGCTCCAACAGAAGACTGAAAAGTCTAGAAAGCTATAAAAATGATCACACATTTTTGTTTATAAAGATTTTTAATTTTAGACCACAGGTCATCTCAAATATGAAGACATTTTAATGAAGAAGATTAATAAGGTCAGAATTATAACTAAGAGATGGCATGTGACCATCCTGTCAATACCAGTCATTTCAACTGTGGTAAAAGGCTGAAAAAGTCTGCAAGAGAGATTATGACACTGCATGTCTGCAGACTTGGCACCAAGATGCATAAATGCTGAATTAAATGTAATTATATTCTATGGTCAGGAGACGTAGAGCAGAAAATAATTTCCACAGGAGCGACTGTTGTCATTGCACTGCTTCAACCAAGTCAAACATTTACACCAAAATCAGTAGCATTTATAGGAGGTTTTTTTCTCTTTTGCCTAACTAATTGTTATGGCAATCATTGCATAAGTCTTTCCCTTTTCACAGACATTTTAAGGTGTTTCTTTGATTAAAAACAGTTTGCTATCTGCTTAACCACCCCAAACAGTTGATGATAATGATTTTGGTTAAATAAGGAACCCTTTCAAAATAAAAAACAGAGAGGAAACCCTTTTTTACATGAGCAAGGAAATGGATCTCTACACCCTCTATTTGTATCCTTTGACAAACCACTTCCTGTTCCTAATTGTCTCATTCAAAGCCATGTCCTGCTGAGGACACACATTTCCTTCACATTGTCTTATTTTTAAACCTTAGTACATGTTACACTGTTTATTGGATTATCGTCCAAAGCTGTTAGATTTAATATTAAAGAGAGAGTCTGTTAAAAAATGTTCATTATTCAAAACATTTTGTTATACTGGATATAGATAGCTTCATCAATAACTATTTAATGAGTCTGAGATTGATAATAATATAATACTGACGAAGCGTGAGAGTTTTATTATTTATATCATTAACAATCTTTTTATTTGCACTGATTGTTAAGGAATACTGCACTAAGATGTCCAGGTGCTCCTGAAATTTAAATTCCAAAACATATATTAAAGGTCAAATTTAATGAAGTTAATATATAACTACTGTAAAAGACTGTTAAAGGCTGTACGTTCTGGCTTGCTGGTGATATTCAGCACATGCTGGTCAGTGCTGGAGTCACTTATTGAATAGTGGAACATGTAAATTATTTCTTTGTCTACTGCCAAATGATTTGGAACATTTCAATTACATCATAAATTTTAAAACCTGTATGTGAGGTCATAGTTTCAAGCAAAGTAAAATCCCATACAAGCCAAATTTGATAGAATGCAACAAGTTCATAATGAACACATCTCTCAATAAGGTTTTGTTGAAATGAATCCTGACAAACGTATGAGATGGCAGCTGGAGACTGAAGCAGGTTAAAGCTGGGATAGGCAGTTTTATTTTGGCTTCATAGGGCAGAAATCCCACAATAGCCTTTAAACATGTTGTAATTCAAGTTGACTGAGGGAAAACGGCTGCACCTCCTCTTGGCTCTGTTTTCAGGCTTTAGAAAATCTAGCCCATAATGGGAGACCGTGGCCAATGGCAGGTCATTTCAGAGAGAGAGCATTCCTATTGGCTGTTCTACAAATGTAGATTTGTTTACACTTCCCTTCAGATGGTGAAAGCCTGATTCAGTGACAGAGAGCCAACAGCTGCCAACTTTGCAAAGCAACCCCCTAAAAAGGAAGATGGACTTATTAAAAGAGAGTCTAAAAGAGAGTCTGACAATAAACGCATAAAAAATATGTCAATATTGGCAAAGCGTTTCAGAGAGAGAGGATATGTTGCTAATAGTTTAGCCTTCTGCTAACCAAAGCTAAAGGCTCATGGCTGCAGCTTTAAGTTCACGTTTATGTAGCTTAGGTTAGCTAGAGCCTCAAATCACAGTCTGTCCACCGGCTCACTCTCCGCCGCTACAGACCATCTCGTCGGAGGGAGAGCAGGCAGCAGCACCAATGATGGACCTATATTCAGTGATGCAAGCAACTTTACTAGCCAGTGCAAACCTCAGCTCTAGGGGATCAGACAATCCTGACTCCCCATTGGATCAGCTAACAGGTTAGACCTGGTGTTGCCGTTGGCCGCCAGCTCACTGTGACACTCTGAGCTGGAGGGTTGCACTGGCAGAATTCAAGCCGCTACTGCCATAGACCAAAGGTCCATCTCTCGAGCCACTGCCTTCTCTCCTTCCGGAGAAGCAGTCCATAGCAGCAAGGAGTGAGGAAGAGGGACTGTGATGTGGCAAGCTAGATATAATGAAACAAGATTAAAAAATAAACCCGTGTATGGAAAACACTGGGTTATTGTATGAAGTGCGTACCCATGCCCTTGGTCATCTTGTAGGAGGGGCTTAGGAAAGGGAGGAAAGAGCTGCATGGGGAGGGTGCATTTTCAAATTCTGCCAGTATTTGTTGCCTTTACTTTATCAGATTTCTGCCAACCGCACCTTTGGGAGACAACATAAAACAAAAACCACAGTTAAATTCTGGAGTGTATTGATCATCACAGATTGTAGATATATAGGAAATGGATCAGATATTCTGTCACACTTTATGAGCATAAGTTATTTCCCAGTTGGAAATGAAAGCTACAGTAAGCATCAGAAGTTTGAAAATCAGTATTTTTTTAAACTTTTTTTTTTGTCAGAAAAACATTTTGTAATAAAATCTTTTGTGACTGCAAGTGCTTTCAAAAATTGTTGGTTCTATAAATAAAATTTCTACATTATTGTATCAGACAATTAAAGTTCTGTACTCTGCGGTTTGTTTTTCACAAGTCAACTACTGCTTGTTTGCATTTCATAGATGAATAATTTACATTCCCCTTTCTCGTATCTTCCATCTGTACATGCTTGTCTCAAAAAGGCCTCTAGAAAGCAGGAATATTCTGATCCTGCCCCAGATCCAATTTGAAGCTCATTTAAACTGTGATTATTGACTTTAACCACAAGATGGAGCAACACCACAAGTTTCAACACTGACACCATATCGAGCATCTCATCCTCTCCTCCTTCGCCTCTTTATTCCATAATTTACCTCTCCCAATTCCCCTCTTCCTTCCTGTCAGTTTCCAAATCACCTCTTCCCTTCTCCCTCTTTTCCAGCACTATTTTGACAGGAAGATTTGAGTGGGTGTGAGTGTACTGCATTAAGAATACATCTCTTTCATGTCACTGTCATGTGGCTGTAAACTGCTGTATATGTCTTGATATACAGAGTGTTGAGGGTCTAAATGGATTAGATGTATAAGCCTCCTCATTCCCCACAGCTTTACGGACACTTTCTATACTCTGCTAAATGTAAGCTTTTTAGCATGCCTATAAACTGTGTGGAGGTGTATCCATGAAGTGATGGGGCTGAATAGAGCGAACCAGAACCTTGCCTCCCTTTGTTACCTGTTTCTATTTAGCATTCTTATTGTTGCAGATGCATTTGGTGATGTTTTTATCTTCGTTGCCTCTGAGTGCCAGCTAACGTTAAAAAAAAAAAAAAATGTATCTTCAAGGAATCAGATTATCTGAAAAATGAAGAAAGGCAGCTTCTTTGTTAAATCGGCCAAGAGCCCTTTGATGAAATTACATGGCTGGATTTAAATTTGTTTCTACTGTCACATGAGCTGTGCTCTAGGATTATAAAAAGGGAAAAACCATCAGCAATTATATAAAAAATGATCAAATTCACACACTGAATAAGATGTAGTCTGTAACAGAGTCATTTAAAAGAAAAAAAAAGGAAAATCTAGTGTGAACATGAATGTGTAAGATGGGATTCCAGTTCAATTACTGTTATGCAAGGGCAGTAATGCAAACTATAACAAGTGCTGACCATATTCTGTGTTTACCTCAGAAGTCAGAGGTCAGATCTGGGATCGACTGCGCTCCAGTACAACAAGCCGCAAGATAAAGATGTTTTTGACAATACCAGTTCTAACCAGGTTAACCATTGTTAGCAATACCAGTTGATAAGAATGCAGAATGCTTTAGGGCACTATGATGGCATAAATAGTCAAACAAGTATGACATTTGGCAAGGTGTATCCTGACTCAAAGGGGAAAGTGGCAAAATAGGATTCTGAGGCTTGCTGCCATGTTATTTCAAAATATCACAAACACCCCCCCACATCACCTTCTGTTTAATATCACTGCACATAGAAAACTTCCCAAGATAATAAGCTTCAATTTGAGACCAAGTTCACCTTCCTGTCTTGAAAAATGGCACTTGCTTTGGCCTAAATCTGTCACTATACCTCAAATCAGAGAAAACAGAATTTTCAGTCACTAGCCCTCCAGAAAGTCAATTTCCCAGCACAGTGAACCTGGTAGTGTTGACTTCCTCAATGTTTTATGTTGGAAAGGTACAGTATGGGTCCCCAGTATTTAGAAACTGCCAGATGCTAATTTCCATATGTTGGGGAATTTGCATTGTTAGAATAATTAGCACTGATTAGCATTATCACTTATATAGAAATACAAATACAAATGGAATGCATCAGTCGCTCAAGTCAAAGTCATTGCTCAGGAGAGAGATTTTGACTTTACTTTGGAAAGTCATATCTGTTTTATACTGAAATCACTGATGCTAAATATTCTTTGCTAGTTAGCATCTTTAAATACAACCATTTTCATGCAGTTCATCCCATAGACTGTAGAAACAATGGACATAGCTATTGTAATGTCACCCATTGGTTTGTGGACTTTTGAAGCCTTGAGTTTGGCGTTATGGCCATTGCCATCTTGAATGAATGAATGAATGAACTTTATTTACATAGCACCTTTCATGCACAAAATGCAGCACAAAATGCTTGTAATAATGCAATAATTAATTGATAATTAATCAAGTAATACAAAAAAAACATATATATAAAAAAAATAAAGAATAGTACAACAGGTAGCTGCTAGTTAAAGGCTATGTTAAAAAGATATGTTGTGAGTCGTCATGTAAAACTGTCCACTGAGCCAGTAAGTCTAATATTTCAAGGCAGGGTGATATTTTTGGGACATAGTAGGTAAAAGAGGCATTCCCAAGGTTTTTGTAGTGACATTAGGAACAGATAAAAGGGCAACTGCTGAGGATCTCAGGGTTCGTGGAGGGACATACGGTGACGGGGAGTCCATGATATAAGAGAGGGCGATGCCATTAAGAGCCTTAAAAACCAAAAGAAGGATTTAAAAATCAACTTTGTGAAAACCCTGGCAGCAGCATTCTGAATGGGCTGTAATTTTGTAATGGCAGTTTTAGGTAGGCAAGTGTATAGAGCATTACAATAGTCAAGACGACTAGTAACAAAAGCATAGACAAGTTTTCAGCATCTTGCTGGCAAAGTAGAGGTGGTACCTTATCTATAATGCGAAATGATAAAATGCAGTTTTTGTTAACAAATTAAAATGAGCTTTAAAATTGAGATCACAATCAAAAATGAAATAAATAAATAAAAAATTACTTGGAGCCAGAAGTGACCATATTTGGGTGAGAGGCTGGCACTGTGTAGGAGCAAGAAGTGGATCTGACTGAGAGGCTGAGGACACAGTTGGCCGACAGTCTGTCGCTCAAAGTGATCTGCCATTAATTATATGTAACTTTAAGCCTTAATAATATGTAAACAAATGAGTTATGGAAAAATGTACCCCCTGTATAGTTGTCAAAAAGGAGGAAATTGGCTATGAAGACCAAGGCTGTACCAGGCTGTGAACACATTTATTTCTGCTGTAAAGATGAGCATTGTAACATGGGGGTCTATGAGGACTGACTCGCTTCTGGAGCCAGCCTCTAGTGGCCATTCAAGGAACTGCAGTTTTGAGCACTTGTGCGTTGCTGTCATCTTTCAGCCTTGAATGTTGCAGCTCAGTTCATTGACATGTTATCTGTATTTTGTCAGAATGAAAAGTTATCCCCTGAAAAGACTGTAGTCTACATCTAGCCTGGAAGTTATCCACCTGTAGTTAATAATCAGATGGGAGTTTTAAGGTACCCTGCGGAGGTTGTGACCACTTGATACACAATGTTGTAAAGAAGACCTCGTGCCAAATTTCGTAAATATATTTATTGTTTTTTTGAAAGTTTTTATGCCACAAGATTATACAAGTTACAGAGCATGTATGTGACTTCAGTACAACTACTCATCCCCCAGCTACAAAGAAGCACTATTTATAAAATGTGATGACAAATTGAGACCCCCACTACACACCCACACAATTATATATAGATTACAGAATACCTTCAGGTGAATAAGGGAAGAACAAAATTAGATAATCAAATAATTGTATTAATTATTCAAACAACCGGAAAAAGGGAGAAGGTCCCATAATGGGATATTAATGGGCTCCAACCTGCTTTTTAGAAAGTTCCTGTAACGAGTCGTAGAAATCCAGAATGGCCTTTCACATAATAACCAAGGTTTAAGAGGACGTTTTGTGTGAATTTAATTTTATAGCTTTAAAAAAATGCACAATACCTTTGACCAGACGAGGAAAGGACAGAGGAGTTTCTTTTTAAAAGGATCAAACGTCTTAGAAGGAGTGTTGTGAAAGCTATGAGCACAGGCTTTATTTAAGAGAGCACAGATTCCTTTGATGTTAAACCAGAGAGTGCACAGACTGAGTCCGGGTCAAATCTGGTTTCAGACGTCTCACTCATGTTGTCAGGTCTGAAGCTTACACATAATGTGTTTTGGTGAGTAACACTGAATCAAACGATGCATGAAAACTCCACAGGTTAAACCATACTGTGACTCCAGTGTGTGAAAAATATAACATAGCAAGCACTCTAAATGAAATGTCAGTACATTTAACACCTTAGATTTTGTATTAATGTTAACATTTTCTTAATTGAACATGTTTTATGTCATCACATAACACTTTGTTGAATGTCCTCCCACAGGATTTTATTTTTGTTAGCATGGAAGAGCCTCTAAAATAGCATTTAGACTGTTATGTGACTCGTTCACCAAATTCAGATGTATCTTTTTGATACTATATGTCTTGCTTGCTGACAAACAAACTGAAACAAACACTGAAGAAACTTTGTAGAATTAATGACCGCCCTCACAGGTGATTATTGATCTGTAACTTTAATTTTTAAGCCATATATTACAATTTTTCCACTGCTAGTAAAGTCACAGCTGAATGCCTCACTAGCGAGGTTTAAAAATCACTTCAAGATCCTTGATACAAAAATATTTTTGTATCCAAGACATACCTTGCTTTTGAAATAGTGACTGACTTTCAAGGTGCCACATTTGTTCACGTACGCTGTGGCTTTTATGGAATAACGCCCTCAGCTCTGACAGGTGTGTGCGAGGTTGGTGTGGGAGGAAACTGGAAGAAACTGGAGCGTCGAGAATCGATTCGCTCCCTTTCTCTATTATCTCTGGTTCCTCTTCAGGAAGACATGAACCAGATCAGACGACGGGGGAAATCACTCTGCCTGTGTGTGTGTGCTGATATGTACCCTATGCGTGACTCTGTGTGGAACAATTTGAGATTTAGATCTTCAGGGTGAACACATGTAGCTTGTCCTTGCTTCTCCAAGGGGTTATTTTAGGTTCAGGACCTGGGTTGAGGTTAATTGGAGTGAAACAGTACATATTAAACTATGGGTTCAGGTGATGTATAGAGCTAAAGGTTATGAACTAGGGAAGGCTCGTAGTCAGTGACGGCCATTACAAGTACTGAGATCCTTTAGTATGTGTGAGATTAGTACATACATGTTTACACATCTGCATATGGACTTCAAAGTAAATGTAA